AGACTCAACATTGTGAAAATGACAATTCTACCCAAAGCAATTTACAAATACAATGCAATCCCGATCCAAATACCAACAACATTCTTTAAAGAGATGGAAAAACGAATCGTTAACTTTATATGGAAAGGGAAGAAGCCCCAAATAAGCACTACTGAAGAAGAAGAATAAAGTAGGAGGACTCACAGTACCTGACGTCAGAACTGCTATACAGCTACGGTAGTCAAAACAGCCTGGTACTGGTACAATGACAGATACATTGACCACTGGAACAGAACTGAGAACCCAGATGTAAATCCATCCACCTACGGTCACCTGATCTTAAACAAGGGCCCAAAGTCCATCAAATGGCGAACACACAGTCTTTTTAACAAATGGTGCTGCAAAACTGGATGTCCATCTGCAAAAAAATGAAACAGGACCCATACCTCACACCATATACAAAAACTAATTCAAAATGGATCAAATATTTAAAAATAAAGCCAAAAACTATAAAGTTCATAGAAGAAAAAATAGGATCAGCGCTACAGGCCCTAACACATGACATTAACAGGATACAAACCATAACCAACAACACACGAACTCCAGAAGATAAACTAGATAAATGGGATCTTCTAAAAATTAAACACCTATGCTGTTCAAAAGACTTCACCAAAGAGTAAAAAGAGAACCTGCAGACTAGGAAAAAAATTTTGGACATTACAAGTCAGACAATGGTCTAATCTCTATAATCTACATGAAAATCCAACACCGCTACAAGAAAAAGACAAATAATCCAATTAAAAAATGGGCAAAGGAAATGAACAGACGCTTCACCAAAGAAGACATTCAAGCGGCCAACAGACACATGAGGAAATGCTCATGATCACTAGCCATTAAAGAAATGTAAATCAAAACCACAGTGAGATACCAACTTACCCTGGCTTTACTGGCATCAATCAAAAACACTGGAAATAACAAACGCTGGAGAGACTGCAGGGAGATCAGAATTCTTATGCACTGCTGGTGGGAATGCATAATGATACAACCATTTTGGAAAACGATATGGTGCTTCCTTAGAAAGCTAGAAATAGAAATACCATACCATCCAGCAATCCCACTCCTAGGAATATATCCTAGAGAAATAAGAGCCGTCACATGAATAGACATATGCACACCCATATTCACTGAAGCACTGTTCACAATAGCAAAAAGATGGAATCAACCTACATGCCCAGCAACAGATGAATGGATAAACAAACTATGGTACATACACACAATGGAGTATTATGTAACGATAAAGAACAGTGATGAATCTGTGAAGTATCTCATAACATGGGTGAAACTGGAGGACATTATGCTGAGTGAAATAAGTCAATTACAAAAGGACAAATACTATATGAGACATCTACTGTAAAAACTCATGAAAAAGCTTACACACAAAAAGTAACAATCTTTGTTGGTTAGGAGGGATGAGAGGCATGGGGGGTGGAATACTAAATAGACAATAGATAAGTTGTAACTTTGGCGAAGGGTAAGAGAGTACACAATACTGGGGAAGCCAGCACAGCTTGTACAAGGAAAGGTCATGGACGCTCCATAGACACATCCAAACTCCCTGAGGGACTGAATTGCTGGGCAGAGGGCTGTGGGCACCAAGGTCTCGGGGAACATCTAGCTCAATTGGCATAACACAGTTTACAAAGACAATGTTCTACATTCTACCTTGGTGAGTAGCATGTGCGGCTCTTAAAAGCCTGTGAACAGCCATCTAAGATACTCCACTGGTCTCACCCCTTTGGGAGCAACGGAGAATGAAGAGAACACCATACAAGGAAAAGATTAGTCCGAAGGACTAATGGACCACAGCTACCAAGGCCTCCACCAGACTGAGTCCAGTACTGCCTGGCTACCACCACTGACTGCTCTGACCTGGATCACAACAGAAGGTCATGGACAGAGCTGGAGAAGGATGTAGAACAAAATTCTAACACAAAAAAGAAGACCAGATTCACTGGCCTGACAGAGACTGGAAAATCCCGAGAGTATGGCCCCCGGACACCCTATTAGCTCAGTGGTGAAGTCACTCCTGAGGTTCACCGTTCAGCTGGGGACTGGACAGCCTCATAAAACAAAATGGGACTAATGAGGCACAGCAGTCCAGGGACAAGTACTAGAAGGCAGGAGAAGACAGGAAACTCAAGGTTGAGAAAAGATAGTGTTGACAGGTTGTGATGTTGTTAACCATTGTTATAGGGCAATATGTGTACTAACTGTTTAATGAGAAACTATTGTTCGTAAACCTTCATCTAAAGTAAAAAAAAAAGAATTATCTATGTGAGATCAAATTGACAACAGCAACTCAAAAGGTTTGATGGGAAGCCTAGGGGACAGTGAGTTGAAGACAATGATGATGGAATAATTTGGAAAAGGATAGTGAGAATAGCAGCACAACTAGAAGAACATAATCGATGTCACTGAATTGTACATGTAGAAATTTTTGAAATGGTTTATCTTTGGCTATGTATATTTTCACCAAAAAAAAAAAAAAAGGTTCTCCAAGGTCGAGAAGGGAGAGTGTTGACATGTCGTGGGGTTGTTAATCAATGTCATAAAACAATATGTGTACTGACTGTTTAATGAAAAACTATTTGTTCTGCCAGCCTTCACTTAAAGTACAATATAAATAAATAAATAAATAGATTTTCTTTCTTTTCCTAGCTGCTTTGTTGTTGTTAGTTTTCCACTGCACCAGTGGGGCTCCTTTCATATAGCTTACTAAGGATTTTTACCAGGAAAGGGTAAAAACTTTTACCATCTATTATGATGTGCTATTTTTCCTTTAATGTAAAGAACTTCAAGTGTTTACTCATATTAAAGCAGCCTTGCATTCCTGAGATAAACCCTAACTTGGTCATTATGTTTTCTCTTCTTAATATATAGCTGGATTAGATCTGCTATTTTATTCAGGATTTTCCATCTGAATTAAGTAAATAGAGCTCTAGTTCTCCCACTTTCACCCCTTATGGACCATCCTGGTTATTTTGGTATCAGTTATGCTAGCCCTACAGAACAAATCAACAAGTTAGTTCAGTCTAATCCAAGCTTCACACATACCTTTTTTTCCAACTGATTCTTAACCTTTTGCTATTTTCCTTAAATAACCTCAACTGCCTTTTTTAAACCAACTTCAAGTAATTCCCTATCTAATTTGCCAGGCTTGACTGACCTCTGACCCTTTCCCCAAGGCATTTCCATTGATATAGTCTACTGACATATGATACTTAATTGAAAATCAGACTTATCACCTTCCAAAGGAAATTCTTCCATATTCTCCATCACTAGGGTCACAGTTCCCAGAGCCTAGAACCTTAAAATCCACTACCCCACAAAATCACAAACAGCAAAGACAAAATAAACAAATAGGACCTCATAAAAATTAAAAGCTTTTGTTCATCAAGACTTTACCAAACAAGCCAAAGAGAAGCTACCTACTGGAAGAGTATCTTTGGAAACCATACATACGTAAAAATCTAACAACCAAAATATATATATATAAAACTTTGACAACATAACAAAAAGACAAATAACCCAATCATAAAATGGGCAAAGGACTTGAATAATAAACATTTCACCAAAGTAGACATTCAAATGGCCAGCAAACACATGAAAAGATGCTCAACATCATTAGCCATCAGAGATGCAAATGAAAACCATAACAAGATACTATTTCACTCCCATAGAATGGCTAAGATAAAAACAGAAAATAACAAAAGTTAGCAAGGATGCGGGGAAATTGGAACCCTTAACCACAGCTGCTGGGAATATAAAATGGTATAGCTGAATGTGGAAAACAGTGTGGTGGTTCATCAAAAAATTAAAAATAGAAATACCATATGACCAAGCAATTCCACTCCTAGGTATATACCCAAAAGACTTAAAAGCAGAGACTCAAACAGAAACTTGTACACCAATGTTCATTGCAGCACTATTCACAACAGCCAAAAGGTGGAAACAACCTAAATGCCCATCAAAAGATGAATGGATTAACAAAATATGATACATACATACAATGGAATACTACTAAGGCAGTAAGAGAAATGAAGTCTTGATACATGCTACAATATGGATGGAACTTGAAGACATTATGCTAAGTGATATGTCAATCACAAAGGGACAAATACTGTATGACCTCACTTATATAAAAAGACAAGAACAGGCAAATGTATATAGATCAAAGTTCATTAGTGGTTACCAGGGAGGGAGGGGGAAGAGGGCGTTATAGAGTACTGAGTTTTTGGTTCACAGTGATAGAAAAATTGCATTAAGGATAGGGTTACACAGCTGATTAATGTCAATTGTTGTCAATAAGCTGTACACCTGTACAAAGTTGAACTGGCAAAAGTTGTGTACTAGATATATTTACAACAAAGACAAAAAAAAAAAAAAAAAAAAGAGTAGCTGCTGAGGCTTCTTATGTACAACCAAACACCTAATGGGATTTGGTTCCTTGGTTTGGAGGTGCAGGGTCATGGTTTCGTGCGACATCCCAGTTAATTAGTCTAATAACATGTTTGATGCTTCTGTTCTACCTCTGTTTGTTGCATAGTGCCTGGGGTCTTAAAAGCTTACAAGAGGCCATCCAAGGCACTATAATTGGTCTCTATTCACCTGGAGCAACAGGAGAGTCAGGAATAGGAGGAGGATATGGAATGTGTGGCTAATTGCTTCCATGAACAACTGCCTATTTTGACATAATACCCAAACTGGATGATGCCCAGCTACCATTACTGAACATTTTGATCCAAGATTCTATAGAAGGATCCTGATCAGAAGAGCGAAAAAATGCAGAACTTCAAATTCTCATGGAATCCAGAATTTCTGGATCCATGGAGGCTGGATGAGCCCCTGAAACCATTGCCCTGAGATAATCTTTAAACCTTAAACCAAAAGTATCTCCTTAGTTTAGCTTAGCTAGTAAAAACTGTCTGCCTTGAGCATTATGCTCTTTTAAGATCTATATGGAATCAAATTGACAACAGTAACTCAAAAGATTAGATGGGAACCTTAGGGAACAGTGAGTTTATGTTAATGGGGGAGGAACAACTCAGAAAAGGAGGGTGAGAATGGTCGCACAAATTGAAGAATGTAATTAATGTCTCTGAATTGTACATGTATAAACCTGAATTGGTGTTTTTGCTGTGTATATTCTCAACAACAAAAAATAAAATATTAACAAAAAAAAAAATCCATCACCTCCATAAGTTTCCTTTTGAAATCAGTCCCTAAAACCAGATAACCTGATCCCAGGTAACCACTACTGTATTTTTATGCAATTAATTCATGCCTTCTACATTTCTTTGCCAACCATGTGCACCACCCACCCCCACCCCCCGCCCCTGCCCCGGAAGGTTATTTTCGTAAGCATGCTAATGTCTTTTTATAGCAACATGTAAAAAAAATTGGCATAGTGATGCTTATGAAAATACCTCATGATGGTAATCCGCTTTCTCTAGTTTGTCATTTTTATAATTTTATATAAGTGGAAGCATATAGTACTTGCTTATCTGACTTCTTTTGATCAACATTGTTGAGACTCACCCATGCTGTGTATACCAAAAATTTGTTCTTTTTAATTTCCAAGTAGTGTTCCACTATATGAATACACAATTCATTTATCCATTCATCTGCTGATGGGCATTTGGACTATTACTAATAAAACTATGAAAATCTGTGGACACATCTTTTTTTCTGCTTCTTGTTGTGGTTTAAATGAAGTTTACATCAAATCTTCATGTGGACTTATGTTTTCATTTTTCTTGAATAAATACCTGGGAATGGCTAGGTCATATGGAACATATAAGTTTAACTTTTAAGAAATTGCCAACTTTTTCATACCAATTGCGCCATTTCACATTGCCGTCAGCTGTGTAGGAAAGTTTTGATTTCTTCATGTTCATTTAACAGTATGGTCAAGTTTTTGCTTTTTAAATGTTAGCCAGTCTGATAGGTGTTCAGCAGTATCTCGGCATAGTTTTGATTTCCATTTCCCTAGTGACTGATCCTGAGCATCTTTTGATGTGCTTATTTGCCATCTGTATATATTCTTTAGTGAAGTGTCCAGATCATTTCCCCATTTTTAAAACTGGGTGTAGTAGCTAAGGTAGGTAGGAGATTGATAGATAATCCTTTTTCAGATGTTTTAATTAGATAATCCTTTTCAGATGTTTTAATATTTTCTCCCAGTCTGTAGCTTGCTTTTTTTCCCTCTTAAAAGGGCCTTTCAAAGAGAATTTTTAATTTTCATGAAGTCCAATTTGATACAATCCTTGCTTTGAATGTCATATTTGAGAAATCTTTCCACACCTAAGGTCAAAGATTGTTTCTATTATTTTCTTATAGAAGTTTTATAGTTTTAACTCTTACCTAACTTTAAAATCCTCTTCAATTCCTTCTCTTTTGCTCCCTTCGATCAAATCCTGCCAATCCATTTTTGGTATTTTTTTAGAAATATTTTCTATTTGCAAAGGCATTCTATTCTACTTAGCTCTCCCCTCTATTACAAATTCTAACAGCTTTCCAGGTGATTTTCCTGTCTAACCTTAATTCTGCCTTTAGACTAGTGACTCACCTATAACATATAGCGCTGCACTGTCCAATACAGTAGCTACTAGTCTCATGTAGCTATTTAAATATAAATCAAAAATTCAGTTCCTCATTCACACTAGTCACGTTGCACAGGTTCAATAACTACATGTGGTTAGTGGCTACCATACTGGACAGTATAGATATTTTCATCATCTTAGAAAGTTCTATTAGATGCTGCTGCTACAGATTAGTATCTTCTAATTTTTAAGCACTTATTTCAGGTTTTAATTCTCACAGTAACACTATGAAGTTGGCTTTAAAGAACTCCTTTAAAGTTTGATATGTCAGTTTATACAAAGGTACTTGTATGCTTCTTACAGAACTGATCCAATCCCAGCGGTGTATACTTTGCAAACAATTTCCGTTTTGTCTTTTTCTTCCTTCAAGACATAGTTCATATGGGAAATCCCTAATCTCACCTACTATTACTTCTTAGTCTCTCAATATTTATATACTTTGCAACTATCCCAGCATGTGTAATGTGTGGACACAAAAAGCTTCAGAACCCTCACCGATTCCTGAATCTCTTCCTTGGAGTTTCACCTGCCCCCCACTTTGCTTCTCTAGAGGATTATCACCATCATCCATCATTTTAAGCTCCCAAGAAGAGTCTTGATCAGTCCAGCTAGTCAAGCCTTTACCTAGTTAATCAGATTCACTTGAGGAGCTTTGAAAAAAACAGATTCTCACGCTCCATTCCAAAAACTACTCAGTAAGAATAGTATCTGTATGAGGTCTGAAAATCAATAGTGCCTCTGATGAGTTTAAAGTGCAACCAGGTTTGAAGTGAAAAACCTTATTTCAGTCTAAATAGGGATGCATTTATTTTCCTCTAAGTTAATTAGCAGAGGAATAGAAAGAAAATATAAAAGCATAGAAAAAAAATTTTTTCTACAGACTCCTTGTACTTCATTCTATCAAGATATACACCATGCTTCTTGAGATTGAAGTTTATTTATCATATACACAAGTCATGCCAGACAACTGAGAAAATGCTATTTACATAAAACACAGATTAAAAATACACAGTATTTGTATTTTAATACAATAATAGAGTCCCAGGATTCAAACAAGTCAGTCTGATTCCAGAAGTTTGCATTATGTAGTTATTTACTCTGCTACGAAGAACTATAGTGGAGGTAAACTTTGGCAGTGTATTTCTGAAGAGTCAAATATTAATGAATTTCATATACATGGTTTTGCATCTGTAGAGGAAGGCACAATTTCTTCAGCACATGTGCCAATTTCTGAGTCTTCTACTTCAGAATTCTCACCAGTTTCTTCTTCAGACTCAAATTCCTGACCATCCGATGATTCAGAGTTATCCAGAGGTTCGTTATTCAGTCTCTTTTAAAGAATAAACCGATAATTGATTGTAAAAACTTTAAAACCCAAATCTATTATCAACACACTAATATAGTTGATCCTCAATGTTGTACTGAGGTTCTTTTTGCCATGTTCCTCAATTAAATGCAATTACAAGCAGTCAAGTGTTACATTAGTCTCTACCACGCTCGGTCAAATTTCAGCAAAGTCAGCGTTTAATAATTTGCTGATTTTTTTAAAGCAATGAAATGCTTTCAGAATACAATTTAAATTACTACTCCTCAATCTATCTGCAGTGAAGGACTAGGTTTTCTAATTTCCAATGCACTGTGGACCAATACTTTTATGGCAGTTAAGAGAGCTTCTCCAGTACTTCCAAATGAAAACTTCAAGCATTAAATCTGATATGGCTCTAAAATGTCAGGTAGCAACTCAGTACATGGAATTTTTATTTGAAAAACTTTCCTTCCATCAGTAAGATGAAGCTTTTACAAACATGAGTAACTCTTAAGACCTATTTTAGGCAAGACTAGAGAAGTAACAGTCATCAGGTTGCTAGGTGCCATTGAGTCACTTCTGACTCACAGCAACCCTACAGGACAGAGAAGAACTGCCCCATAGGGTTTCCAAGGAGCAGCTGGTGGATTTGAACTGCCGACCTTGTGGTTAGCCACCGAGCTCTTAACCACTATGCCACCAGGGCTTCTATAAACACGTTAGCTACTTCCAAATTTAAAATAAATAAATAAATAAATAAAATAAAACCACCAAATTTATTTAGTGCACCAATTAACAGTTTTATAAATGACAGTAAAGTCACACTAGCATTAAAGTAAAAACTGCTTTAAAATGTGTCAGCTACAAAATATAATTTTCCATATATTTGCTTCTATTTTTCAGAGAGAAGCTGATTCCTTTTTATAACACTATAAGAAAACAGATATTCTATTGCTTCATAATAATAAATATAATAGCCAAGTTATTGGGCTCTTTCTTTGTGTCAGGCACTCCTCTCAACTTTTCATTATTCAATTCTCATAGCAAACCTATGCAGTAGGCTCTATTATTCCCACTTTACAGATAAGGAAAACAAAGCTCTGACAGGATAAATAAATCTACTTGACTTAATGGTGCCAGGCAGGGAGCTAAGACTCAAAGCCAGGAAATCTGATTCCAGAGATGAAACACTGATAAAATACTGCTTCAACTTCACAGAAAAACAGATGATTTTGAATCAGGTGAATGTTAAAAATACCTACCTCTATCACTTCTGCCATATACTGTACGTGTTCTGCTACTTCTGCCAATTCTTTATTCTCTTTTTTCAGGCGGGCAATTTCATTGTCCTTTCCTTCAATTTCTTTATGAAGCTATAACATAAACAAAGTTCAGTATTCCAGAGATATGGCTCTGCTATAAACCAAACCTTAAGCCTCCAAGTATATAATTGATAAAGTTCCTAACAAAGGTGATATCTTTGTCTCTCAACACAGTAGCCTTCTTTTTGTGAAATAATTCTGGTTTAACAGAGTTGCCTTTCTAATCATACTTTTCTTAGGCCAACATTAAATCTACCTTAGATTTAAGAACCAGAACGGAAACAATCCTGGAATTTTTAAAGAATTCCACAAATAAACTCAGCACATACTTTCTCATTTTCCTTAAGTGCTTCATAAAGAGCCTTCCTCCGTTTTTCTGCTACTTCTTTCCAATATTGAGAGGATGGATTTTCTGAAATAAATTAATATTTTACATGTAGACATGTTATATGCTGCTTTAAAAACTCAATACTTTCCTTCTATTTAAAAAAATATTTCTAATCTTAGTATCACTCATATTAGTCACACCCATTTTTAGAAGATTTAAAAGTTAGAAAACAAAATCAATTTTTTTCTATTTTATTTTTCCCAACATTTTTATTTTTAAGGATTTCAAACCTTCAGAAAACTTGCAACAAAAGTACAATTAAAAAAAAAATTATCTTTCACCTAAATTGAAAAAAAAATTTGCAACATCTTCTTTATGTGTTTGTGTGTATTTATCTGGTTGTTTAACACAGACATTTTGAAAAGTCCAGGTTGTTTTGTACACTGTGCTTATATTTGGATTTGCCTGTTTCCATGACTAGAATCAAGCAAAACACTTCTGGCAGGAATTTGCATAAATATGTTGTGTCCTTCTCAGTGCATCATCAGAAAGCACATGATGTCAATTTGTCACCATATTGGAAATGCTAAATGTAATCATTTGGTTAAGAAAATATCTGTCATGGATTCAATTGCATCCCCTCAAAATAACTGTCAACTTGGCTAGACCATGATTCCCAGTATTGTGTGATTGTCCATCATTTTGTCACCTGATGTGATTTTCTATGTGTTATAAATCCTACCTCTATGATATAATGAGATGGGATTAGTGGCAGTTATGTTAATGATGCAGGACTCAATCTATAAGATTAGGTTGTGTCTTAAACCAACCTCTTTTGAGATATAAAAGCAACCAGAGAGACATGGGGACCCCATACCACCAAGAAACAAGAGCTAGGAGAACAGCATGTCCTAAGCGGATCCTCAGTCCCTGTACTGAGAAGCTCAACTGGGGAAGATGGATGACAAGGACCTTCCCCCAGTGCCGACAGAGAGAGAAAGCCTTCCCCTGGAGCTGACGCCCCGAATTAGGACTTCTAACCTACTAGACTGTGAGAGAATAAACTTCTCTTTGTTAAAGCCATCCACTTGTGGTATTTCTGTTATAGCAGCACTAGATATCTAAGACAATATCTATCAGATTTCTCCCTTGTAAAGGTATCTTTTTCCCTTAGTATTTTTAGTATTGAAAAAATGACCTGCGGAGTAAAATTTTTACTTTGTGTGAATATCCTGTTCCACAACCTTTCAAGCAACTTTAACTCTATAGATGTTTCTTGTTTAAATCTATTACTTCTATAAATAAACAAAAAAAACCAAACCCACTGCCATCAAGTCGACTCCAACTCACGGCGCGCCTACAGGACAGAGTAGAACCGCCCTGCGCCATAGAGTTTCCAAGAAGCGGCCGGTGGATTTGAACTGCCAACCTTTTGGTTAGCTGCTAAGCTCTTAACCACTGCTCCACCAAGGCTCTATTACTTCTATAGTGGATGAAAAATAGTAATTTTCTATTTAAGGAATTCCTTCTACATTTTGTAGCTGGCATTCTCTGGTAAGAACTTTCCCTACCCAAATGAAGAAAATTATTACCAATATGAACTCATGTATTCTTTTTTTGTTCAGTGGATTATAATCCATTCTGGTCGTCATTCATTTTAATGCTCAAATCATCCCAAATATAGCAAGTAAAAACCCCTTTGATTAACTACTATATTCTTTTGACGTGTCCATCAGATTTTTAGTAGTTCTTTATTTCCAGACACTAGATGTTTTCCCTGCCCCAGTCTTGTTATCAAACATTCCTCCAAGGAGCTTTTAGTAGAGAATAATGTTTACAAACTAAGAGCTGGATACTAGGTGTGCTTCTTGCTATTGGGGTATCATTTGTTTCTAGGCTCTTTCAGCAGCAAAGCTTAGATATACCTTTTTCTTTTCAACATTAGTTTATACTAATACTCCCAATTCCAATTCAGCAACACAAGGTTCTTCCTTTTCTTCCTCAATTCACATTTGTATCTGCCTTCACCATATTATGAACCTGGCTCCCAACATCAACATGTTACTCATATTACTCTTTTATCCAATCCTAAGATATACACAAAACAGTTTCAGAATTACTGTACCAATACCACTGTGAACAACAAATTTAATAAAGTCCAAGATTTCTTTCAGTTCTTTTTATCTTTACAGTATGTCCCACTGAGGGTCTACAGTCCAAGTTCTATCGTTAAGTTACATGAATTAAACTTCTTCTGTGTGGTTATGTTAGCAATATGGTATCTAGTTGTTTATTTCTGTATTTAACTTTAGGGTTTTTTCACCTATCCTTGTTGATTTAATTTTAACCCAATCAGATGTGTCACAATTTATTCTATTTTACTAAAGATCTTCTTTATTTTTATCCATTCAACCTTTCCTAATTTTGCCGAATAAAACCCTATTGTCTACTAATCTTTTTCCTTACTGCCTTCCAGGCAACTCAGAATGAGCCTAAATGTCACAGTGACCTTGACCAAGTCAATTACTTTCTCTAGGCTTCAATTTTCTCACCAGTCACAATATCAAATAACTTATGGATAGTACAAAAGTAATAATCTTCCATAATGCTAATAAGATAGTATTAGCTTCCTCTTTTGATTTCTACTGCCATTCCATTAACAAGTACGTATTACAGGCACAGCTCTCATTCATCTTCACTGCCTTCACTTCAGCCATGGCTCCCTGACTTCATATTCTCCTGGAATATTAAAATTCCTTTTTTACTCAAATTCATGCTCTAAACATTTTTCTTCTGAAAAGCCTACTTCCCATCTTGTAAACTCTTACAAGGCAATCCAATATCAGAGCTGCCATATTAACAACTATCCTTTTCCTTAATACTTCATCCACATTTGGATCTTAAATAAAAGTTCAGATCTGTCCAGATAGTAAGAAAACACAAAAATATACAAGTGAAATATCTAATAGTATCCTAGATTAAGAAGAGGCCATGGGCAGAGTTCGTAACTGTATAACAAATATATAATATTTATGTTGTAGTATAATTAAAAATTTTAAGACAAAAGTTATGCATGTTTACATACCTTTAATCATAAGATCAAATGCTTCTTGAGTGACTCCTCCAAGACTTTTATTTTCACTACTTTCTGGGACAATAACAACTCCTGGACTAGAAGTCTTAGACATTAACTGGCCACTTCCATGTTTCCTTTTGGATAAGCCTTTTGCCAACTGTAATGGAAAGACATATATCCGTCTGATTTATTTTGATTTACTGAATAAGAAAGCTGAATGTTTTTGCATTTATGTATTAAAAGCAGAACTCATGTATCTTTTTTTATATCTTGAATCACCTTTTTAAAAATTACACAATTCAAAACTAAATATAGAGTTATACCTTAGGAATTTCATTTGTAGCAGCTATTTTGGATAAAGTTGGGTCTAAAGCTTAGCTGAAAATATTTTTACTGTATTTAAATAATTCAGTACCATGGAAGGGCAATAGTTTCAACCTGCCAAAGTCTAGACACCCTCATTCATGATTCCGTCATTTACACAGAGGGATAAATGAAAGAATCTAACATTCTGTTCTCTAAACATCATTATTATCTTATAGAATAATTCATAACTTATTACATCATTCCAGCTTCATACAAATTTTGAGCTTCCTAAATTGAACAATTAAACAAAACCAATAAACACCACATCTTTGGGGAACATATAATTGTTTAACTCTTAAAGTAGTTCCAAATTCCAATGATACAGTGTTTCTAACCAAGGAAATCTTGGAAATATTTTTAACGCAGAGGTATTATCACGTGTACCCCTTTCCAACACAATAATGCATACCTCACATTCTCTTCCCACAAGAGATCCAGCTGCTGAAGGCTGAATCATCTTCAGAGTTCTTCTTGGGACAGGACTATTCTAAAAGTCAAATTAATTCATTATTTGGTTACTGAGTTTCTATATGGATTGTTACTGTCTTAGTTCTACTATAATTCGGAGGGAAAAAAAACCATCAGGAATGCTTTTTGTCCTGCTATATAATTTTATAATGCTATGTATGGATAAATCACGACACTGGCTTAATCAACTGGGACACTTATTATTTCTCTAAAATTTTAATCTAGTTAAAAAAAATTCTTAAGAATGGGTCAAATCATCCAAACTTGCCACAAACAAGTAACTTTTCTCTTCCCATTTCAATATAAGCTTTTACTGTAAGTTAATCATTTTGTCAACTAATCATATCAAGTCAAAATAAAAATATAACAAAATTTCTAAGCTCTAATTAATAGTTCAAACCATATGTGATGAAACCCCAGTACAATAGAAATACCTATATTACCTCTTAAAAAGCCCTTACACACAGAAACTAGAACTTACAGGTACTCTACTTTTATAAAACCAAACAACATTTATGGTAGAAAATCCACACAAAAAGTAAACAGGGGGAAAGATTAATTATCTACATTGAAAAATACTTCTTCCCCTAATGAAAAGGATTCATCTCAAATGTCCTTTAAATCATGAATATTCCCTAACATATTCATATGTATTCATAAAAATATATACATATAATTTTCAAGAACGTACTTTACACAAAACAAAGTATACATGCAACAGACACCCACCCCTCAAACCACTACCTGCTTGTAGCAGCAATTTTGCGTCAAGCTCATTTACTAGGAGACAGCTAAAAGGTCAGTGTTTGAGGTATAATTAAAATATTCTAATATGCCCAAGCTATTGTTTTGGAAAAAACATAGCCTTCCTTCTAATATGTAAATGCTGCTCTATTTTTGCAAAAATAATTAGTTATACTGCCACCATGGGATAGCAAACAATGGTGAATACTCAAACAAGGTTAGCAAGAACATGATACCATACCAGCGTGAGAAAGTTACTGATTCCACACCGTACTTCACATGACAAGAGTTCACCTTTCCCACGGTAAAGTTTCTACTGCTGATTATTATCTCACTATTTAACTGAAGAACAAATGCCAGCTACTGAGAGAACAAATATTATACCAACATTTCAGATATAATTTAGATTACAGATTAGTCAATAGCCTCCAGACAAGTAGAAGAAAATATAACTTTGGAACCTTAATAGAAAGTATTAATTTATTTAAATTCTTGTTATTAATACTGGTCAAAGAAACCAGCTAAGTTATTGTCACACACAAAAAAATGACCATTCCTAAGATTTAGCTTTTCTACATGTAAGCTAATGCTTTTATAACATCTGGCCCTAAAAAAATGTAATATTGGCTATTTTCTTTATTCAGATTATGCATAAGAATAATACTCTTTAGAACCACAAAGGTTTTTACATGTTAGTGGTTCTTAACCTTTTTTTAGAAAACAATTTGAGACTCTGTGAACTCCCTCCCCAAAAAACTCACATTTGCACAGAATTTTGCATACAATTGACAAGGAATACATGGGCCTTAGATTAAAACTCACTCTTACAGATCTAGTTCTAGAGTCTAATTCCCTCATGTTACTGATGAGTAAACTGAGGCTGAGGTGCTATCTAACTCACTCAAAGTCATAGTTTTGGAGGCAGAACCAGAACGAAACACAAGATACATACAACTAATTTTAATAAAATCATTTCATGAAGTATAAAAGTAAGAACAAAAGAATAATCATCTTGCATAAAAAAGAATCCACTAAAAATCAATTAGAACTAGAAAACAAGTTCAGTAAGGTTGCAGGATATAAGATCAAGATAAAAATACCAATTGTATAAAAACCTCAGCTGACTTTTCTACAGAAATTGACAGGCTGATCCTGAAATTCATATGGAATTCAAGGGACCCAGAATAGCCAATACGATCTTGAAAGAGAACAAAATTGGAGAACTCACATTTCCCAGTTTCAAAACTTAACTACAAAACTGCAGTAACCAATACAGTGTGATACAAGCATAGACATGTAGATCAATGGAACAGAATTGGGACTCCAGAAATAAACCTCTATATTTATGGTCAATTGATTTTCAACAAGGATGCCAAGATGCTGGAACTTGTGATTAGCCAAAATTTTAAGTAAAAGTAACATTAAGTTAGATAATCACAAGTTCCAACATTAATATATTATTAGTGACACACCAACAATACTGGATGACTTTCAGAAATAGTACACTTGAGTAGCAAAGAACCAAGTTTAACCCATTGCCACTGAGTCGATTCCAACTCATAGGGAACCTATTCGACAGAGTAGAACTGCCCCATATAGTTTCCAAAGCTGTAAATCATTATGGAAGCAGACTACCACATCTTTCTCCCATGGAGGGGTTGGTGGGTTCGAACTGTCGACCTTTTGGTTAGCAGCCGAGCTCTTAACCCCTGCACTACTCTATTGTTGCATGTCCTCTGACTAAAAATGCAGTAACTCAAGCTTTATGAAAATCATAAACGAGATTAAATTTGGCTATGTCAAAATACGTCTAATCACATGCTTCTTACAATAGACTAAAGTGATTCTATACATACCTTTACATTCTCTTGGAGTCCTTGTTTCTGCTTCATACTGGGATTCATTATACAACTGGTGAAGCAAAGAGACTAGTAACTGAAAAACAGAATATGATTTGCATCTGAGAGTAGAATCTGGATTTTCTGTTGAAAGTGCTTACTATGTGGTGGAACGATTTACCTGTCTTAGTCATCTAATGCTGCTATAACAGAAACACCACAAGTGGATGGTTTTAATGAAGAGAAGTTTATTTCCTCATAATCAAAGCAAGGTGTCAGCTCCAGGGGAAGTCTTTCTCTCTGTCAGCCTTCTCATCAGTGTTCCCCGGACTAGGAGCTTCTCTGTACAGGGACCCCTGTCCGAAGGACGCGCTGTGCTCCTGGCACTGCTTTCTTGATGGTATGAAGTCCCCGTCTCACTGCTCACTTCTCTCTTTTATATCTCAAGAGACTGCCTCAGGACACAATCCAGTCTTATACATCAGGTCCTGCCTTACTAACACAACTGCCACCCATCCTCCCTCATTAACATCATAGAGGCAGGTTTACAATACACAGGGAAAATCACACAGTACCAGGAATCATTGCCTAGCCAAATTGATACACACATTTTTTGGGGGCCATAATTCAAACCATGACATTACCTTTCCCACTCTACTCACACTCAGCCCTATCAATGAATAGGGTGACTAAAGTTATTGACTCTTTATACCTATATTTTACACATAAACGATAATTCTGAGTTCTCAACTCTCAAGGTACCGCACTTAGAACCTTTTTTTTTTTTGTACATTTTATCGTTAAGTAATATGTACTACACACAATGCTGCAGCACATAATTTGATATAGCAGATGTGGAACAGCTCATAGATCACAAAGAGGAGGAACGGACGGATCAGGAATCAATGGATTTTTAAGAGGAAAGAAATGCTGAAGAAGAAAGAAATAATGATGAAGGAGAGGTGTCAAAAAATTTTACAGTGAAAGGATTAGCTGAAGTTTTTTCTAAACTAAATTAGGGGCTTCGGTTGCTTAAAAACATGGACCCAAATGCTGATCATTTGCTACAGTTGATAGGCAGATTCCAAAACAAGTGAGATGTTACTGTGAAATATATGAAGAAAAGGAATGTACAGACAACTCTCACTAATTTTCTGACTAGGAACACCATCCCTATTCCCAGGGATAATCCAGAACCTTCCATAAGTGGAGTTATTACCATAGCTGAAGAAATGCCAACATCGTCCAACTCTTCTTCATCATCAGAGTTAATTTTTGTGATTTGTGTATTTTTTTATGTATGTATGTAATAAAATATATCTGTGAGATTATACGTAATGTTTCCAACCCCCAAAGACAAATAAAGATAGGATTTATAAAGACCTTGATAATAAAAGGCAATAATGATAAAAACTAAAAAAAAAAAAAAACCAAAAAAATGAGGTATTCGACTTACAGAAAAACTTACTTTTAACTGAGTCATGGGAATGGAACTCCATCGCAAATTGGGTATTCTAAACAAATATGCAAAACGTGATGGTGTCTGGGATTAAATACAGGGCTCTCAAAGACCTGAGAAATGGTCACCATAAAAAGCAAAACACAGATACTTAGATTTGCCCAAGTCCCTCCTAAAGAAAAGCATCCTAACTTTGCTCTTCAAAGGCAGGTTTAAACTGTAATAAACTTGGCTCCAGCAACCAGCAATAATAATTGTGACTTTTATCCAGTCAAATGAGATTATGCATTTACATTTGTAGGGAGTGCTTAACTACCAGCATGAACTGAGAGACTGAGGGAAGCAAGAAAGAGGGAGCAGGAGAAAAGGGGGTAGTTACTGTGGTTAAAGGAGACCACCTGGCCAGACTCACTCCAAACTCAGTATCTGAACTCTCCAGTCATGTCTGTGCCTCTCTGATAGATCTCTCTGATTTTTCTGGCCATGACTTTACCAAATGCAATGGCTTTCAAACTTCATTTATGGCCCACCCTAGGCTAAAACATTTTACACAGTACCCTAGCACACACACATACATATGCAATGAAGAAGTTTAGTAAACAACAATGTAATTATGTGTGATGTACTCTATTATTCTATTTCATGTTAAGATACTGTTGGTCGGAACCCACTACACTGATCCAGGGCAATGTTTTTCGAGGGACCTTGAAACCATTCAGTGGGTCATGTCCAACACTGTTTTTGAAAATGTAACTGAATAGGATGGAACAGAAAAACAGGAAATAACAGTGCAAAGCATGTGAGGATAAATACTGTTCGGAAAACTTTTGGTTTGTTATATGGCTGTGTTCTAAGTGGAGATGTAAAATGTGTTTTAGCATTTGTCACGATTAAAAAGGTTTAAAGCCTCTGATCAAGTGAGTCTAATCCGCCACGTATTTACCACAATCCTGTCAGCAACCTTGCACGCTCATTCGCCTTTTATTCTTCAGGTTTTTTCCCCCCCTGTATCTTGTCTCTTAAACAACTACATTAAAAACTCTAGCAGAGGCGATGGTTGCACAACATGATGAACATAATGTCAGTGAACTGAACATGCAAAAAATGTTAAAGTTGGCAAAGACTATATCAACTTTTTTTTCCTTAAAAAAACCCTAGCAGAGGGATGGGCCCAAAGGGAACGCTAATAAACGGAAGAAATCACAGTATCGTGTTTTTTCATGGGAGACCCAGGATTCAGCGACCTTCTCCTATGATCCAAGCTCATGGTCCCCATCAGAACACGTCGAGTACCTTAACTGACAAGAGGATAGGTGATTCGTCTCAACCCCACAGCCAAGTACCCCTAGAATGAGTTCCTCACACCAGCTGCACCCAAAGCGCCCCCAACCCCACCAGCTCCGCCTCTGGACGACCCGCGACTGGGCGGCAGTCCAGTCCAGCGCGCCCGAGCCCACAAACCGCGACGCGCGCCTCGCGGACGGCGCCCGCCAGCCAATAGGGAACGCAGAAGGGACAGGGCGCCAAAATCAGCCCAACCAATGCGGCGGTCGCTCGCCTCATCTCCCGCCCCAGCGTGGGCTCTCGGAAACCTTTCAAAGACCCCTCACTTTCACCCCTACCCTGGCCCCGACTCCGGCCCCAGCCCCGGCCCCGGCTCGGCAGCTGTCAAAGGAGAACCCAGCTTCACTTCAGGCTGGCAGGAGCGAAAAGCGGGTTTTTCAGGCGCTGTACATACACCGTGAGCCACTGCGTTCCCACTTCCTGCCACCTCTCTCACACTTACGGGCCAGAGATGCTCAGCTGTCACAACGAACGCGAGTAACTACGGCAGTGGCGCCTCTCACAATGCGGAAAGACAACCTACTTTCGACCCAATACCCGCTGGCGTGGTTTGCGCGCGCTGCCGTAGAAGCTCACTAACTCCGCCTGCCAGCCCTGGACGACCACGTGACACAGACGCAAGCGACGAGCAGGGCATCCGGAATACAGCAAATCACCTCTCGCCTCCGCGCACTTTGGCCCCGCCCCTTCCTGCGCCTGCGCGGTAGGCTGTAGTGGGTATTTGGGTTGGAAAGTCAATAGTTTTTGGTGTTGGGGAATCTACGCCCTCTGTCCGAGCGCACAGCTCTGGGACCTTAACTTTCAGTATACAATATTTTTGCCCTTTACAAGCAAGAAAAAGATCTGTCTCCAGTAGACGTAAACAAGGGGTTAACAAAATATTATGCTTTTGTATACGACTTATATTTGCGTAAAGCCCTATTTTTACTATTTTGTGATACGGTGGAGAAGCCCTGGTGGCGCAGTGGTTAAGCGTTCGGCTGCTAACCGAAAGGTGGGCAGTTAAGAGTCCACCAGCCACTCCTTGGAAACTCTGTGGAGCAGTTCTACTATGACGTACAGAGTCGCCATGGGTAGGAAGCCTCTCCACGGCAATGGGTTTTGTTTGGTTTCATTGGATGTGGTAGGAGTTATGAAAGGCCTTATGTGGCGATCAGTTAATCCCTCAGCTATTACATATAAGCACTGTTCTAGGTGCTGGGAATACAACAGGCATTGCAATTTCAAAGAGCAGGAAAAGCTTAGTAATGATTCCATGTAGCTTTTTTTTTAATTCTATAAAATTCTAAGTAACTTTTATTGTGGACATAGCACATTAGAACTTCTTGGAGTCTAGTCAGAGCATTTGTTTACACTTACATAAATATGGAGTCCCTGGGTGGTGCAAACGGTTAAGGCGCCTCAGAAAAAAAGCCTAGAAGTCTTATTCCAGAAAATTAGCCATTGAAAACCATGGAGCACAGTTTTACTGTGACACACGTGGGGTCACCATGATTCGGAGTCCATCCAGGACAACTGGTTATAAATTGTTGTTAGTTGTTGTGTGCCATCGAGTTGTTGCCAACTCATAGCAACCCTATAGGACAGAGTAGGGTTTCCCCCATAGGGTTTCCAAGGCTGTAATCTTTACAGGAGCAAATCGCCAGATCTTTTGTTCCACCAAGCCACTGGTGCGTTTGAACCGCCAACCTTTGGGTGAGCAGTGGAGCATTTAACAATTTCGTCACCAAAGCACCTTCCGTAGATAGTAGGACACTTCTGTTTTCTCATTTCTTAACTTTTTATGGGATTATCGTT